TTCGAATCTTCTTCTGAATAACGTCGTGACTTAACTGCAATAGGTCTACAGTCAAGAGTTAAGTTTGAAAACAAGTGGACGGGTGCAACCTTAGCTGCTGTAAGTCCGCACACCTTCAGCGTAGGTTTCTTACCCCCAAATGAGACTTCAACGCTTGAGTGTTCCTTGAAAATGTCATGTCCTAAGACAACATCAGCGCATAAGCCGTCTAAAACAAGGAGTTTAGTTTTGTTGTAAATATGACCTTGAATCGACAAATCAACAAGACTGTAGCCAGCTGTAACTGGTTGATAAGAAGTAGAAGCCATAGTAACACTAACGGTGGTTGGAAAGATTGTTATTCCCCTCTTTTCTACTAGAGATTTACTAATAAATGTTTCCGAACTACCAGTATCAACTAAGGCATCAGTTTTAATCCCATTTACTTCAATCGTAATAGTAGATTTAGATAAAGATTTAGGTGCAGCTGCACATGTAGCTGGATTTTTGCTGAAAGTTTTTTTAGAGTCAAGTTTTGTAGGAGGTAATGAATTACTTCCTGACTTACAAACCTTCATGAAATGTCCTTTCTTGCCACAAGAATGGCAAATATGATTTGCAGCAGGACATTCACTTCTAGTATGTTTTTTACTGGAACCACAGAAATAACATTTCCAGGAAGTGGCTGATAAACAAGTTTCCTTTGCATTATTTGAGGACATGTTACTTTTGACAGATTCTGGTTCTGAAGTAGTAGAATGTTGTATGCAATTTAATTGAGAATGTTGCTTGTTATAATATTCTGATTGATACTGAGCTAATTCCAAAACTCTAGCTTTCTCAAAAGCCTCATTCAAAGTTAATGTTTTATTTTCTAGAAGTCTTTGTCGGATAACTGGGGAAATCAAACCTCTGATAAATGCATCACGAATATAGTCATTTTTATTTTGTTCTGCAGAAACTTGGGAAAAATTACAAGGTTTACTTAAATCTTTCAAAGCTTGTAAATATTGGTCAACTGATTCCCCTGACTTCTGAAAACGAGTTGCTAGAAGATGTCTGGAATAAATCTCATTCTTAGGACGGATATAGAGTTCTTTTAAAATAGCTATAGCTTCATCAAATTTTGTAGCTCCAGAGATGTATTTGTAGACAGATGGACTAATGTGATTAACAAGTAAACGTAGTTTTACCTTTTCATTTGTTGCATTAGAGTCACATTCCTCAAGGAAGTTGGTAAAAGTCTGGTACCAATGCAGCCATTGTTCTTCTGCACCATCACTTTCTGGCTCTACATCAAATCGGTGAATCGGTCAGGCTTGAGGAGTTTGTCCCATAATGAGTTTTATTTGCACTTCAATTTAATAAACTCTGAAGTCAACATACAAATACAAAATGTAAATAGTAAACAAAGAACAACTGTGAGACAATAAATAAATTCATAAATACAGTAAGGAATAATAACAGTTCATATGTATAAAAATATTATCACATTGGTTGAAACAAATAAAAATTGACTGGCAAGAAATCAACCAACTGAGTTCCAAAAATAGCTTGGGCTTGGAAAATCTTTTAAAACAATATGAAAATGACCTATTTGTTAAAAACATAGGCAAACTTCAGGGATTGGAAGCACAACTTTATTTAAAACCTGATGCTAAACCAGTTTTTAAGAAAGCTCGATCAGTTCCTTTTGCACTCATTCCTAGAGTGAATGAGGAACTTGATAGACTCGAAAGAGAAGGTATTATTTCTAAAGTAGACTACAGCAGCTGGGCAACACCAGTAGTTCCAATAGTAAAGGCCAATGGTAACATACGTCTGTGCGGTGATTTCAAAGTCACACTCAACCCATCTCTTCTTGTCCCTGAGTACCCAGTTCCAGCAATTGAACAAATCTTATCTAAAATTGGTAACAGTATCACCTACAGTAAAATTGACGTATCGGAGGCTTTTCTTCATATGCCCATAAGAGAGTCGGATCGTTATTTGTTAAAAATAAATACACACAGAGGTTTGTACCAATATAATAGATTACCATTCGGAATATCTGCAGCTCCTGCTATTTGGCAAAAAGTAATGGAGGAAGTTGTTGAAGGGATAGAAGGGGTACAAGTCTTTTATGATGATATAGTTGTTTCAGGCACCACTAACGAACAACATCTTAGCCGTTTAAAACAGGTATTTGAGAGGTTCAAGCAGTACAATCTTAGAATTAATAGACAAAAATCAAGCTTTATGGTAAATGAGATTGAGTATTTGGGGTATAAAATTAGCAACAAAGGGATACACAAAACTCAAAAACTAACAGAAGCTATTGACCATTTGCCTCGCCCTTCAAACATACATGAAGTCAGTCACGTCCTTGGTCTGATTAATTAGGTTCATTCCAAACATAAGTGAGAAATTATATCCTCTTATAAATCTCACCAAGTCATCTACGAAATTCTTTTTGTCTGAGGACTGTGAAAGAACATTCCAAAACATTAAAGAGGAAATGAAATCAGACATATTTCTTACTCATTTTGATCCTAACTTACCACTCATCTTAGCTACAGATGCAAGCCAGCATGGCATCTCAGCCGTTCTTTCACATGTTTATCCGGATGGGTTTGAAAGACCTATTGCAATGGCATCACGAACATTAAACTCCTCGGAAATGAAGTACAGTGTCATAATGAAAGAAGCATTAGCCATATACTTTGCTGTAAAACGTTTTTATTACTTCCTGTATGGCCATCCATTTACTCTTTTCACCGACCACAAACCATTGACATATATATTTGGTGACAAAAATGGTATACCAATTCTAGCAGCTACTAGATTACAAAATTATGCTGTTTTCCTCCAAGCCTTTAATTTCGACATCAAATACAAATCTACTGATGAAAATGCCAACGCAGATGCCTTATCCCGTTTACCTTCAAATATTTGCCAAGATGTTAACCAAATAGACAACGTTGATGTTTTTGAAATACAACAACTCCAAACCCTTCCCGTTTCAAGCAAACTAATAGCAGAAGAAACTCAAAAAGATCAGGAACTGTCAGACATCTATGAAGCTCTTAATGAAGGAAAGCTCATAAACCATTCAAGTGAGTTCAGAGACACTGAATCAGAATGGAGCTATCAAATGGGGTGCTTATTTAAAGGACATAGAGTTGTAATACCAAAATCATTAAGAAACAAAATTCTTCAAGAACTTCATGAAGCACATATAGGTATGGTTCGGATGAAAGCTTTAGCTCGCTCCTATGTCTGGTGGAAAAATATTGACCATGATATTGAAACATTGGTTCGAAATTGCAAAAATTGTCAAGAGCATCGTAATGATCCAACCAAAGTACCTGTACATCCATGGTCTGCTCCTAAAAAACCTATGGAGAGAATTCACGTTGACTTCGCTGGACCATTTATGAACAGCTACTTTTTAATTATTGTGGATGCGTACAGTAAATGGCCAGAAGTTATTCCAATGAATTCTACAACTACAAACAAAACCATAGACTGCCTGCGAACATTCTTCAGCAATTTTGGCATTCCACATATCTTGGTTTCAGACAACGGTCCACAATATACTTCTCAAGAATTTAAAAACTTCTTAGAACTGAATGGCATATGCCATAAACGTTCTGCTCCATATCATCCAGCTACCAATGGGCAGGTCGAAAGATATGTTCAGACCTTAAAACAATCCCTTAGGTCTATGAAAGATGAACCTGGTACCCTTAACCAAAAGGTTACCAGATTTCTCATGGCATATAGGAGAACACCTCATGCAACTACAGGGTTAACACCTGCTCATCTTTTCATCGGCAGACCGTTGAGGTCAAGGCTTGATTTGACACTTCTTAACTCTTCAAATACTTGCACAAATGACCAGACTATCCAACAATCTTATGGGAGGAACTTTAAAGAAGGAGACTCTGTTTCTTTTAGAATCTACGGGACGCCACAAAAGTGGAGATTTGGAAGGATTCTACAAAAACTGGGCAAGTGCCACTATAATATTGAATCTGGAAATTTCACCTACAGGAGACACATTGATCAAATAAGATCGGTTGGTTCAAATTTAAGCGGTGAGAAGGACAACAGGGACTACTTTATCAATATCAAACTTCCTCTAGGAAAAAACAACCGGTTACAAGAATGAATATGTGATTCTAAAACTTAGGGGAGAGGTTCTGTGTTCAACCAACTGTTTCCTAATTTCTTTTATTTATCATATGACTTTGTTTACATTAATTTGTTTTTGTTTTGTTTCACTGAAAGAAGCTAACTCACAATAATTTGCTACAGAATAAAAATTTGTATTAAAACATAAATCAACTTTCTTTCATAGTACATAGCACCGCTATACCCACTACTCCAGCCGGCTTGTTTACCCGACACCGGCAGCCGGCCTTCGCCGAGGGGGCACCCGGCATCCCTCGACTAGTACCCGGCAGCCGGGCAAGTGGTTAACCGTCAACGACACATGCCGTGCATATGTGAACGGTCCCATATACTTCTTCATCCCATTGCCGGTTAAGCGACATCCGGCACCCGACAGCCGGGTAGATGTGAAACAGGCCTAAGATGTCACGTCCACGTGGCTAAAGGCTGCACTCCTTGTCATGGAGAACTACTACTGGTTGTTGCTTAATTGTTGCCTTCTTATCAATAATTTGAAATAGTAAGTGTAAACACATTTACACAAGACCAGTAGGCAATAGGTTTGTGTATTTAAAGTTATACCTTATACTTGAGGCAGGTAACCATTGGTCCCAGACCTTGACTACTATACAGATTTTTCCCTATAGCCGCGTTTACACAAAGCAAGATTTTGGCGGGCAGGTTACCTACCTCAGCCTTGAAATACCCTCTAGAGGCTTGTAACCTGCCTCGCAGCCTGCTTACCTACTGGCCTTGTGTAGGCCTAAATGTGGCTTATAGGTAAAATTTGTAAAAAAAAGATACTGAAACATTTTGTTGATCTCAATAAAAACTATGAGTATTTTGAGTTATTTTTAAGTACTCACCCAATAGTAAAATGAGGATTAAAATTCCTAGTTCTGATTCCCTCTTCATTTTTTGAATGGAATTTTAATTTTAAATCAAAGCTGGTTGTATCAATTAGACTGGCTCTGCTCTGAGTCTCTTAGACAGAAGAATCGGGTAACAAAATCATCTAAAAAGTAATACAATGTATAGTATTTTACCTACATTGTACACTGGAATGATTGGTTAAAAAAAAATATAATCGAGTATAGTTTAACCATAGATAAAACATACTCCCTTGTTAGTGTATGGTTTAACAGTATTTACAGTATGCAAACAAATATTTTGTTTAATCGGGTAATAATTATTTGCCTGATATAGTAATAATGTAACTTAGTTTACGTTTCTTACATGATCTGGGTTTTAAAAGAAATACATACAGTAGCTATATTCTTCAGCTATTTTTCACAGTCCATTAACAAAAATTTAGCAATATATTAATTTCTTCTCATGTTAAACAATTTACCAAGTTCCTAAAGTTTAAAATAAATAATATAAACTTTAATTATTTGTGTTAAACTTGTAGAAGATTTAAATTGGAATAAAATTGTAAATAAATTAAACAGAATGGGTTTTATCATATTTGGTAGCAATATAACAAAATTTAATTATATAAGTTTATCTCAATCTCAATGGTGGTTTGCAAATTTATATGATTTCTTCAGTTTGATTAAATAAATCTACCTATCATTAACAGAGATGTCTACTGTACTTACAAAAATAAGGTTGTATCAGTAAGACAAACAAACTGTATTTCAACTGCTTAACTAGAGAATTGGGTCAAAATACCAAACTTCTGATAGTATTTTACACTTAATTGTTAAAATCAGCTGTTTTTTGCAACAATTACCTTGTAGATAACCAAATCAGCTGTTAACCTTGCTAGTTTTTATTTTATGAATGTAAAGAATACCTGCATTTTTTACAGTCTTGCAAGGCCATTGTTGAAGATGCATACAGGGTGGTTGATTTAGTGTGCCAGCTGTTTCATTTGAAAGTTATTATTAGAGATATAAAAAATGTTAAATTGTAACTGCCTTGAATTTTTGTTTTAAAATATTTTGGTCAAGTTGAATAAATAATTTTAGCCACCATTTTTACAATGTGTCTGCCAACTTTGATTGTTCTTATGGAAGACCCTATATTTTATGATATTTTAAGAAAGTTAAATGCAATTTGAGAACGTTTTTATTCTTGGATTTTTTTCTCTTTACCTACGAGTAGGAGTTATAGCGTATTACAACTAAGAAAAAAATTACGTGGTTGTACATTCTGTGTCATGTAGCTTCTAAACGAGTCAAGTTTAGAGAAAAAATGCTAAAAGTATATAAGTCTTAAAATTGCATCTACGTTCTAAAAATACATAAAAAATATTGATTCCATTGTTTCAAAATTGGCCATCATTTTCCAAAATGGCAAAACAAGTAAATCAGTCCCGGGTTTAGTTCTTATCATGAGCTACCTACGGTAATAGTTTATTCTCTACATGGGAATTTGGCTAAAAAGGGAGATTATAATTTAATTGAACATTTTAACAGCTGTTGGTAATAATATTTATGTTTGTCGTCAAGCTCTAGGCTAAATACAATCTAGAATTAGTATATCTTAGATTTAATCTGCATCGTGTTTTTATTACTTGCCAGCAATACACAGGGAATTTAATTTGGGCTGTAGAAAGACTCATCCTCTAGACAAAAATCATATCCAACAGGACAATGCACATGTGCATGTGGAACTCGACACAATCAATTGCAAGAATCACAATCACAACATTCACCTATACTTTTTACAATCATAGAACGAAGACAAGTGCTGGATTCTTTGTTGACACAGACAGATAAATCGGAAACAATGCTATCAAGGACATCGAGTACATATTTTATTTACATCAAATTAATTAGCCTTTTAACATTTAAGTATGAGCCTGATATTAAATAGTTTTAACCCATGCTATAAAATGTCAACAATTTAATTTAACATTTGAAATCGAGGGCTAATTTAATGTCATTGTGGGCTCATATTGCTCCCAACTCCAAACGAACCATATAGGTTTGTACAGTAACTTACTTCACATGCGGTAAGGAAAGATCACCACTGTGAATATACGTTGTAAATATACGGTAGCCTCAGTTTACTTTCAGCCAGACGTATCATCGGTGAGCCGATAGAAAGATGGCATTGAATTAATGAAATTATTCGGAACTCCTATCCACAGAATCTGATTTCAAAGTGACAATTCTGCTATTGTCATCAATCCTGATAAACCATATTCGTCGTAGAGCACATTCGTAGATTCAATCCATCTGTTGTTGACGAGACAACCTTGCCGGAATCATGGTTAGCTCAGGCTGGAAAAATCGTGTTTTATTGAATTTTCTCCGTAACTGTTAGAAATACAACAAAGCTTCTGGGTACATTATTAACTTTTTTAAGCTCTAAAGCTTTTTTTAACTAATGAATGAAATTGCAAAATGTTATGTTTTTAAGGTCAAAAATGGGAAAACCCAATTTGGATCCCATAACCCCCCATAACCCACAACATTTTGAAATGTGATAAATTATTTTATCCATTTTTGTTATCAAGCTTCTGATAAAATATTACAATTATTTTTATTTAAAATGTCAATATTTCAAAAATCAAATAATATGACAATGAAAAACGGATTGCGGCATTGAATTCAGCATAAAAAAGTTGTTCAAAATGATGGGTCACAACACCACCTTCATATTTAAAATAATGTATCACATTTCAAAAGGCGGATCCAAGATGGCGGCTGGAAAAAATACATCCGTCATACCCGGGTGAAAATAGGTCAACAATGAATGGTGGTGTCCACTTATCTTTATCTAGCACTATTTTGAGATTATGGCCTTAGTTTGTAAATGCACAATGTTATAATGGACTAAAAATAAAGTTATAAAAAGTTCTCATAACGTTAGAATGGATCAACATTTTTTAAACGGATTTCAGCATCGTATTCAGCGTAAAAGTCTTGTTTGAAACGGTGGGTCACAACCCTACCTTTACATTTGAAAAAATAACTTTGTATCAAATATGGTGGATCCAAGATGGCGGCCAAAAATTTAAACCCAGTCAAAATGAAATACTTGCTACTCTACAATGATCTGACGTGATTCGGAGTTTATATCTTAGAAATGTATAAAAAGGTAGGGGGGGGGGGAACTCATTTAAAACTCAACCTGTATAAAACAATTCACAATTATTTTCCTTATAATTTTTTTGTTTTGAACAGCCGCCATTTTGAAATGACTTGATTATACTTGACCATTTTCAACCCAGGCCGAGATAATGTATTCAAGCACTTGTGTGCCAAATTTCCTGAAAATCGGTTCAGGCATTCGGTCGTTATAGCCAATTCATGGGGACCCAGCATCCTCTTACGGCCGCCATTTTGATGACGTCATTACGGACGACCGAGGTCCTTAAAAATTGGGGTCTGGGCGGTTTTAGGTTCAGAAACTTGTATACTATAACCACCTAAAATTGCAGCCTCTCTGCCAGAACTGAAATATTCTGCCACTATATGCAGCTATACGACCCCACTAACAAATTTCTCTTTAAAAATCATCTGTAAAAGAAATTACATTTACACAGAACAAATTATGTAAAGAAATGTTAACCCTTCCCATACGGGCAAAATCGTGATAGAACGGCAAAAAATTATAGGAGTGGTGCGGGGTGCCAGGAGAGGGGGAGGCGTGGGAGAGGGATAGGTAAGGGAGAGAGGGGGGAATGTGGGAGAGAGCGCAGCCATGAAGAGAGCAGGAAAGGAAAGTGGCGCCTTGGTACCGCGAAACATCTGGTTACTACTCATTTTCTCAAGCACCTGCTAGTCTGTCTGAAGAGAATGCGGCTATATCCGCTTCCCGTCCGGAACATCAAAAACCATAAGCGGATATATCCGCCACCCGTTCTTTTATCGCCAAAGACTTATGCGGTCATGCGGATATATCTGTCACCCGTCCGGGTAGGGTTAAGTAATTACTATTTTATTGAATTTTCATATTCAAACATCTTTATTCATCATAACGTTTAACAATGGCCTTTAACCGAAACATAACACTTAAAGAATTTTTTTAACAATTATTTATTTACAATCTGTTCTTAAAACTAGAATATTAAAGAATATTTTATAACAATTTAATTTTAATTTTAACATGAGTAAAATGTATAAACCAAATATGTATACCTGACTTTACTGCAAATAGGCATACATATTATATATATATATATATATATATATATATATATATATATATATATATATATATATATATATGAATTTGAACCGAATGGTGTTTTCAACCTTTGGGGACCTCAAAAAAGTAAATCGAAGTAAATCGGTCACGGGCCAGGCCTAGGTCCTACCATGAAACCTGCGGTAATAGCTTATTCCCCATATGGGAAATTCGCTAAAACTGTTTTAGATTTTATAAGAGATTTGCGATATTTCTGTTTACAATATCTCGAGTTAATTTAGATATCCAATCAATAAAAATGGTTCTTTTTACTCAGGTTAACTGCTATTATCCATTATTATTTATTACAGTACCCATAGCAACACATGTGTTACCTCATGCGTTACTTTATTCCAAAGCCCTGATTGCTTCTGCTGCTAGTGCTGTCTGCCCGTCTCACGTCTCATTAGTCCATAATGGAAAATGTCAATTTTGCTTCTTGGTAACATAACCTGTTGAGAAGATATTGTTTATAAAATTGTTAGGCCTAAAGAAGTTTTTCTTTTTAAAACATGTTAGGATATATTGAGTGATAAAATTATGAAATTATAATGCGATCGCGATGTGACTTAAGAGATATTTATTTGGACAATCTTGACTGTTGACATGGCTTTGAGTCTGCCATTGAACTGTTTTCTGCAATATTTATGTTTGGTATTTCTTATACCATCATGTTTTCCCTTTACATTAGAACCTGCAACAGTTAACAACTATACTGAGGGTAAGCTGATAATCTCAAAAGTGACTGTGATTAAGGTTAAGTACGGTATGCATTTGATTTTAAGTTTGTTAGATAAACAAAAGTTGAAAATGTTTCTCCCTAAATGACATTTGATAACTTACTTACTTAGGCCTACAGCTCGTGACATCTAAGCTGGCACTTGGCCGATCGCTACTAGTACCTATTTCAAAAACATTATGTCCCGTTATGCGGGTTGCATCAACTGTCCTCGCGACCCATCTGAAGGAGCTGAAGTACATAATACAAGGGGAGTCAACCCCGTGAGGCAGCGGAAATGTTTGCAGTCCGGTCTTTTCCCTACCTCCACCCTCCTCCCGCCTACACTGCCCGCGCTAGGCCAAGTGCCAGCTTAGGTGTCACGAGCTGTAACTACTAGCCTATGCAAGAGTGAAGGAAGATTGGATCGATCTATTCACATTTCGCTCATTAAATGCAAATTTTGGTAACAATGCTTTGAAAATGTTCTTCAAGTTTATTTTTAAGTTAATTGTTGTACTCTGAATCCTAAAATGCCATCAGGCTAAGTTATAACTTATGTGTTGTTTTTTTTTTATCAAACAACAGCCTGATTAGCCTCTGTCGGTTAGCCTAAAATGAAAGCTGGAGGCTGCACTTTAACTTAGTATCCGTCCTACACTCATTCGGATGAAAATATTGATTATTTCAATTGATAAGTTATATCAAGTTCAGTTAACCTAACCTAACTAACCGAATGAATAATCGATAGGGATTAAATAATCTTTATAGCCTATTGGTGTTTTTCATTCGAATGAGTGTAGGACGGATATTAAAGTGCAGCCTGAAAGCTAACCACTGTAATAATTGGTTACTAAGTTATTAAGGCCTAAGTTATGAAAAAATATTGCTACGGTATTTTTACCTCTGGAGTTTGCATAAAGATTCAATATTCCACACCATAAACTTAGGCCAAACCAAGGATTGTGGGACTTTCCTCGTTTCGTTATGAATCAAACGATACCAGATACTTTCCCGCCAAATACTCCAAATACAGGCATTGACAGGTGATGCCGCGGCTGTGGTCAACAACCTGACCTTGGCCTACTTGGAAGGGATTTGGCGTGCGACTCATCTAGTTTTTGCTATTTCTTAGTTTTAGTATTAGGCCTATCCTGTATATGACTTTATGTCCTGTCAAATGATGTAATGAATAAATAAATAAATATCGTTCGATTCATAACAAAACGAGGAAAGTTCTACTAACATTTGTAATAACCCAACCTAACATAACCGCCGCAGGACGTATTTTAAGGGTGGCCTTTAGATAGCACCAAAGTACCGAAATTTTCGACTCTCCGCCCAACAGTGTAAGGAACCATGATTTACAGCGTTCTAGACAGAGATTAAAAACTTGCTCACAATAGGCCCCTGTACAGTTTTGAAGGACTCGCATACCACAATATAAAGTACCGGTAAGCCTATTTCAATGTTTGTACTGTAAAGTTTTGACAAGTGTACATTTTTGTAAATAAGTTATATTTATTTTTAATGATGCATTCTATCCGAGAAACTTTAGTCAAAGAATAAGACAACAAGTATACAAGTATAATTATTGTTAATTGGCTTTTGCAGGATTTGATCTCTGTTTGGAATTTACTGAGCTTGAAAACGGGAATGTGACTTTGGTTAGCAGTGACAAAGGACATCAAGAGCTCCATTTGTCCTGCCTACATGGATTCTTCCTTGAAGGAAAATCTGTAATCAACTGTGACAATGACCTTTGGACAAAGCCATATTGTGTGCACGGTAATT